GAGTCCTTGACCTCTTCTGCTTTCGCCTCCCGTCCTTCGCGCGGAACAAAACACGACGCAACACTATGTCACGGTTGGCAGGTGGCTGTGTACTCGAACGTGCGCACGACGATCGGGGCGCAGCGCGCGGGCTGGGCGGCGGCGTTCAACGTGGCCTTCCGCGCAGGGTCCGTGATGGGCTTCGCGCTCACCAGCATGGCCGTGCTCGTCCTGTACATCGCGCTGTGGGGCTACCGCCAGTACTTTGGTGACGACGTGAGAATGTGTAAATAGTAGAGGCTATGGGAGGGGGTGGGGTCATGGGGATTGGGTGATGAGTACTGCGATCTTGTAGTAGCAGTGGCCATGGTTTGCGGGAGGCGCAGGAAGTTAGCCCACGTTTTTCATTTTTTGACGAAGGATGTGGGATGGAACGAGGGATATGTCGTTTACGAAAACCAGGCGGGAATCAGGCCGGCCTCTTCGATGGCTCTCACCCCCTCCCGACTACACATGACATCATGCTAGTGATGACGGGTCCACAAACGCTGAAGCGAACTTCCAACCGCAACAAACGGACCCAACACAACGCAGGAGTGGAAGGTGATGATGAACTGCGTCTCCGGCTATGGGCTGGGCGGGTCCTCGATCGCCATGTTCGGCCGCGTCGGCGGCGGCATTTACACCAAGGCTGCTGACGTCGGTGCGGATCTGGTCGGCAAGGTCGTGCACGGCATCCCCGAGGTGAGGAGGAGGGGGAAGAACATGAAGGCAGGGGCATGCTGCGCCACGAACTCCTTGTTTGTTCATGGTTTCGACGATTCAACCTACTGGGTCTGGTTCTCAGTTACTAGCTTTCAGTTTTGGGGAAGCAATATATTATTCGTCTGTCATTGATGACTTTGAAGCTACCGCAGCCGACATGATACAATACATGTTGCCGAAAAAAAATGTACCGAAGCTTGTAAATTTACTCGAACAATGAATGAATCCGTCCTGTCCCAGGACGACCCGCGCAACCCGGCGACCATCGCCGACAACGTGGGCGACAACGTCGGAGACGTTGCTGGTATGGGCGCGGACCTCTTCGGCTCCTACGCCGAGGCCACCTGCGCTGCTCTCGTTATCGCCGCCACCTGCCCGGATCTCGTGGAGGCTGGCTGGGGCGCGGTTGTTTTCCCCATGGAGGTACAGTAGGGGACTTGACGCACGTAGTCCGTTTGTGTTACCATTCACTGCACATTTTATTTTTCTCCGCCATTTTGGTTGCGTGTCCCACAAAAGTGTTTGGTCTCCGCACGAGAGAGTGTTTCGTTGTTGATGTTGTTGTGCCGACCTGACTTGGATAGCCATCTTGCTCCTCTTCCGAGATAGTCCTTTTTGTTAAGGCTAACGAGAGTGTCGCGTCTCATTTTGATTTGCTTTCGTTTCCCCTTCGCAACACACAGCTGCTGTGCGTGACCGCGGAGAGGTTGTCGACTTGAACGTGCCCTGTGTCGTTCTTGAATTGAAATGTCTTTTTTCGTTGATGTTCCTTTTTTTGTTTTTGTTCAACTTTGTTTTTGAGTCCAGGTGTCTGCGGGCGGTCTGCTCGTGTGCCTGCTGGCTTCCTTCCTCTCGACCGACCTCTTCCCCGTGAAGGAGGAGAAGGACATCGAATGGGTGAGTGGAATCATTTGGCGGTCTCTTTTCGCACCCCCGCAAACGAAAAAGCACAAATTGGCTCGGGACTTAAGCTTCAATTGGCTTCCTTTTGTCGGTCGAGTTGAGTTCATTTGTGAGCACCAAAGGAAGTTGAAGTCGTGGCAGATAGGTGCTCGTGGGTCGGTGTCTAGGCGGTTTTGTGGTCGTGGTCGTTGGCGAGTAGTTTAGTTTTCGTGCGCAACAGACGCTAAATATTGACCGTCTTTTTGAGATTCGTTTTTGTTGTTGTGAAAGGGGGAGAGAGGGTAGGGGGATAGAGCAGAGGAAAACATGGGAACGAGCTTTCTGATCACTCTCTTGTTTCCTTGAAGGTTTCCACTTGCCGACCCCACCGCATGCAACCAAAATATCTGCGTCTCGTGTGTCGCTTTGCTTGACAACGTGTGTGTGCTGCCCGCCCCCACAGTCGTTGAAGATGCAGCTGATCGTCACAACCGTGCTCATGGTGCCCGTGACCTACGTGCTGTCCGTCTCTTTCCTTCCCAGCTAGTGAGTCTCATCTTGCCCCGTGCAGCCCTCATCCCTCCCGCCGTAAGCCCGGTGGGGATTGTCACGTAGCCGTTGTGTTTCTTGGTGTCTTCTCTTTGTCCTCAACTTCGGATGGATGAACGGCTTGACGCATCGCCGTTTCTTTTCTAGCACTTTCGTGTGGTCATTCGTGTTTAATTGGTCGGTATTCTGGGGTGTGGATGAAATGGAGCCCACGTTTTCTTCCCGGAACCATTGTTCCGTCGGCGCTCGTATACTGTGGGTTTTTATCCAGACCGGCATCGTTGGTCCTTGTTCCTGACCCTCTCCCTCCCCCCTTTCGCGGTATTTTCTTTATTTTCTATTAGCTTTGAGATCAATGCTATGGACGGAAGCACCATCGAGGCCGGGGCGATGGATGCCTTCGTCTGTGTGATCAGCGGTGCCATCGGCGGTCTCATCATCGGCCTGGTCACCGAGTACTACACGTCCCACTCGTACGCCCCGGTCCGCGAGGTGAGGAAATACGGGTGTAACACTGGTTGGACTTGGCGACAGGCATCGTGCTCACGCTGCGATGGGCGGTGGAGAAATAATTGGAATTTTTTATTGGACTTTTCGCAGGCGTCGTGCTCTCTCTGCGATGAGGGGTGGAAAAGTAATTTTAATTTCGATCAAGTCTTGGCGGTTTCGAAGGGTGACCGATTTTTCGTCATTTTTGCTGCTGGGTGTGACTGCTGTGATGCTATTGTTAAGTGGGCAGAAGGCTTTTGGGGTGGAATGTGTTGACAAGAACAGCAGCCTGCTGTTGCATGTAAGTCGCTGAGTGTGTGGCATATGTTTCTCGTTGCCTGTGCACCTAGGCACTGAGCGGTGAACACGGCCCCGACCCCTTCACTGGTGGTATCCTTGGGGCAAACGCCACATCCTTTTGCGATCCTTGTTCGATCCTGTTGGTGAAATACCATCGACCATGCCACCTATTCTCTGCTTCGCTCCCTCAACTTACACACCGCGACGGACTATTTCACTCGCTGTTGCTGTTTACAGGTGGCCATGTCGTGCAAGACTGGGTCCGCGACCAACATCATCTACGGCCTCGCCCTCGGGTACAAGTCGACGATCGTGCCCGTCTTTGTGCTCGCCGCCATCATCTTCACGTCGTTCCAGCTTTCCGGCACCTATGGTGTGTGCGTTGCATCGTGATGTCGCCACTGCTGTCGTTGCTGTCTGCGCGTTCGTTGTGCGTAGCGGCGGCGGCGGCAGCTGACAGCGGGGTGGTCGTGTGAGTTCACCACTCTTGTTGTGGTCATCAGCTGTGTTTGTTTTTGACGTCCTTTTTTTTCGGTGCGTGACTATTTATCTCCCCAGCTATGCATGCGCATCGTTCGGGAGGTTCCCTGTGGCTTTCCGTCTGTTTTTGCGATTCATGCATTTGTCAATGCTGTGTTGTTCTGTCGTACGTGCGATGTGTGTATGGGACTGTATGGGACGTGGGAGAGTTCAAGATCGGTCACGTGTTTGACATCAATCTGGTTGTCCTCCTCTTGCTGGCGGCGCAGGCCTGCACCGATCCTTGTCATGTGTATAATCGTAGCGCGGTCACCTCTTTTTCTGATCCCATCTCCCCGCCCCCACGCACCCGCGTGACTGACTCCCTCCGGTCGATGGATGCACTTGTTTTGTCTTTGTTTCCCAGGCGTGGCTCTCGCCGCGATCGGCATGCTCTCCACCCTTGCCACCGGCCTGACGATCGACGCTTACGGCCCCGTGTGCGACAACGCTGGAGGCATCGCCGAGATGGCTGAGCTTCCCCCAGAGGTATCATAAGGCGAATGGCCGATTGATCGAGTATGCGGTATCGAAGTTGCTTTTTGTTCCCGTTGCTGGCGCTGAGGCTGTGCGGTGGATGAGTGTTGACCGAAGCGGGAGTCCCAAAAATTTGTTTTCCTGTTTTGTAGGAGTACGTATCCCGTTTTCACGCATCTGGGCGCCCGTGAAAGCATCCTTTGATACAGCAACACCAAGACACGATTCTTCTGCTCGGGCGAGCCCACTCACACAACCCCCACCCCACCCCACAGGTTCGCGAGAAGACTGATGCCCTGGACGCTGCGGGCAACACCACGGCCGCCGTTGGCAAGGGCTTCGCCATCGGCAGCGCCGCGCTGGTGTCTCTGGCCCTCTACGGCGCCTTCGTTACTCGTCTTTCCGACGAGGGTGCCAGCAACATGGACGGCGGCGTCAACATCCTGCAGCCCCTGACCTTCAGCTTCCTCGTCATCGGCGCCATGCTCCCCTACTGGTGAGCGAGAATGCTGAGGGCCGCAGCTGCCGTGGTGGAAGCGTCGGGGTTTTTAGTGAGGGAGGGGGGAGAGTTTTGTTTCGGGGATGTCGGGCTGGGGGATGGTTCGGGGTTGCACTTCTCTACGATGGAAGGTATTGACCAAGCAGGTAATGGTTGCAGGCGACGAAATTGGTACAACGGGAGAGGCCGGGCGCGACTGGCGGAGAGGGAAGCGGGGGGAGGGGGTGATGCCTGTTGTGTAGCCTGTGCGCGTGCCGATGTGGCACCTCCCCAAAGTCGGGATGAAAGGTTTCGTTGTACTCCTTCACGAGTGGGATCGATGAGTCTCTCTTGTCCTACACGCGTGTTTTGGCACGAGAGCTTGAGCTGGGTTGTGATTTGGTGTCTTTCTTGCTTCTTCTTGCTTTCTTTTGGCAGGTTCTCAGCCATGACGATGAAGGCCGTCGGTACCGCCGCCATGGAGATGGTGCAGGAAGTGGAGATCCAGTTCGACGAGGTGCGTGAAGGACGTTCTTAACGGAGAACAACGATGCAAAGCCTCCCTCCCTACCTGTCCGAACACGAACTATTTGTACTGGTCCCCGCGTGCGGTCCTCTGGCTCTCATGTTGGCGTTGCTCCCTTACACACGATCTGCACTTGCTGCCTCGTCGCTCGTGGTTGACTGTGTATAGAACCCGCGCCTCCTGGACGAGGGCACCTCGGAGCGCCCCAACTACCAGCGGTGCATCGCCATCTCCACCCGCGCCGCCCTCAAGTACATGGTGCCGCCCGGGGCTCTGGTGATGCTGGCTCCTCTCGTGGCGGGAACGTTCTTCGGCGTCATGGCCGTGTGCGGGTTGCTCACCGGTGAGAGGACGAGGCCGTGTTGTACTGCTCTTTTGTTGTTGCTGTTTGAGCGGTGCTGGTTTTACACCTGTTTCCTGGTTCACATCGAAGGGCGTGTTCTACTGCTTGTTGCTGTTGTTGAGCAGCGCTATTCCCGCTTGTTGTCTCGTTAACGTCGAAGGCCACGTTGTGCTCTTGTTGAGCGGTGCTCGTGTTGCACCTGTTGCCTAGTTCGCTGCGAATTTCGAGTGCTCAGCCTTTTCGCTGCTGCGTTTGTGCGCGGGGCGTCATTTCGTGAGAGTCGTCACGCACGTATTTTGGCAGGCGTGTCCAATAGACAGAATCATTGGTTTGTAGCAATAGCCATGTTGTTGATAACCCGGGGTCTTTTTCACGCGAAGGCTTTGTCTCACGGTTATTTCTTGCTGGTTGCCTGCCCACGCATCGTTTACAGGCGGCATGGCTTCCGGAGTTCAGGTCGCTATCTCCATGTCCAACACCGGCGGGGCTTGGGACAACGCGAAGAAGTACATCGAGCGGGCCACGCCCGACTCGGACCTCCAGGGCAAGGGATCCGACATCCACAAGGTGAGCGCGGGGGAGTGGGCATACTCATGTGGTGCTTCATCCCTTAGCTGTTAACACAATTAACGGGAACGGGGGCCAGTGAAACCACAAGGCGGGTTTCGTTCTCGTTATCTCAGCTCGTTCGGAAATGCGTTCGAGGGTTTTTGGTACGATTTTTCGCGTGAGCGGCTGCTGCTGCGGTCCTGTTTTGCAGTCGATCGTGGTCTTCCTATCTCCGACGAAGATGTCGGTCCTTGTTGCAAATCGTACAGTGTTACCATTCGTGTCACCAGTTCTAGCTTCGTCTGGGTGCGGGACGAAAATCTTGGGGGTGGTTGAGTCGGTCGATGGAGCATCAAGTATTGGTTTGTTTTACTCTTTCCCTTGCCTGCGCTAGATACCCTTCGCCTTCTCTCGTTTGGTCCCTGCATCTTACCCCAGCGTTCCACCCTTTTCTCCCCTGGGCTCCCTTCCCCCCAACCCCGAAATCGATTTTTCTTCAAGGCTGCCGTCGTCGGTGACACCGTGGGTGACCCGCTTAAGGACACCTCCGGCCCTTCCCTCAACATCCTCATGAAGCTCATGGCCATCATCTCTCTGGTGTTCGCCGAGTACTTCCAGGCCATCAACAACGGCCAGGGAGCGTTCAACATCGAGAGCTAAATGTGTTGGTTTGGCGGCATGATGGCCGAATGTTGTTGGTTGGGGGGTGAAGGAGGGTATATATATATACCCATACCCGCCCGTTCGATCCGGCCTCCCTTTTCTCGTGAGATTCCGGGGGAGGGGGGGCTCGGGGCGATAGATAAGATGCACGCCAGAATGTGTTGCGAGGCTGTAGCTGATGGCGTTAGGGAGGGGGGGACTAACGAGGGGGCATGATCACCACAGGATACACTTCCCGCCGGTTGGTCTTTGCGTTTTAGAAGAATGGAGCAGGGTGTTTACTTTTACTTGCGTTGATTCTGGAATAGATTGTGGACCCCGTGTTTTAGTCTGTTGGCGTGTTTGTTTCGTGTCCATCTCGAAGAGGCGTTCGTGGGTCAAGGTTGGGGGCAGAGGGCCGTGTGAGCGCTGATCGTGTGGTGGAGTTTTTTCGGACAACACAGCATGAGTAGTAGTAGTTGTAGTAGTTCGTTGGTGGCTCGGAAAATAGTCAACCTTTTGAGAAAAGTTGGATGCGTCTTGCGTTTGGTTGGCACTCTTGGGCTAGATATAACTGGGACTTGGCGTAGTCGTTGTGAGGGTGAAAAGAGTTGTTTTGGTTCCCCTCAACCCGCTTGCTTGTCTCCATCATCATCGGTGCTTCTTGTGCGAGTCCCGTCTCTTTACGATTGGTGCCACTGCTGCTGCTGCTGCTGCTGCTGCTGCTGCTTTTGTTGGGTTGCGGCGACGAAGTCGTGGTTACTGCTGTTTTGTGGAGAGAGCAGCATCGCCTTGGGGCATAGAGAATTTCGCCGTGTGTGTCGAATCTCTGTAAATGATGATACCAACATGCACGGATTTTTGTCTCGATCTTGGGTCCGGTTCGGTTTGGTCACAACTCGGAGAACCGGGTTCCGTGGGAACGAGCGAGTGAGTGGTGTTTGCTGCTTGCAACCCGCTCCTCGCGCTCTCATTCAAATACATAACCTGTCCAGCAGCAGTAGTTGTCGTTTTACCTTTCTTCTGCAGTTCGACCCTGCATAACTTGTTCTGCTCTGCATGCCGATGGGTGGATGTAAATGCTCCACTGGTTCTTCTCGAGAGATATCGGTGCCAAGATGTTCAATTGGTGTAAAAAAATTGAAGAGCAGCTGATTTCTCCCTCCTTTCGGTACTCTTGCCTTTTCGCTTGGTTGAGTCTGCTGCTGGTGGTGAGAGGCTGATTAGTCTAAATCGTCGCTTGTGTTCGGTTGTTGATCGAAATGTGTCCCTACAAGTCGACCCACAGGCAAACAAGTACACCTGGTGAGTCTAAGATGCTACTTTTCACCGACCCTTGAGAGGTGTAATCGGCGACGAGCGTGACGATCATTTTTTCTTACGTACCACCACTCCTCGATTCGGATCAACATAACGACGAATTGCTGTTGACGATGTCGCCAACTGCTCAGTCTTCGATACACCTCCGAATGAACCAAGAACTCTCATACCAGGTTCATACAGTATTTTTTTCCAATCATTGGACTCTGTCGTCTGCCCTTCTGGCCCCTATCCTCCACTTTTACCAGCTAGACGACCCAACCGGGGTCACATAGGAGGGGGGGGTTGGACCCCCTCCTGCGGTTCCTGCCTGAGATATTTTCATCTCGAGAAGGGTACAGCAATCCCTTCCCTCGCGACCTATGAAGTCGGTCAAGTTTACGAACAACGAGCTTTGCAGCGCGTCGCTTCCAACGGATATGTGACCTTGTCGACCAATCAAAAGCAAGCGAACGAAGGGAGGTGCGAGAGCTCGAGGGGGGGAGCAGAACATAGAACCACCAGATACCAGCCACCTACATCACGGGCAAGTGTTATTGCTCTCAAAGCAGCTCTACAAAGCCTTTCGCTTTCTGGCTGCGCTGTGGAATGTTGAATCGTTGAATCCACAAGTTGGGTCCCACAATTCCCCCGAACCGTCACTTTTTTGTCACGCAAACCTCAGCATCTCCGCATCCGTTCCATTTCGAATTCACGCGGCACCTCAAGCATCCGCCATGTTGATGCCGACACTCTGGTGTGGGCGGCGCTCGTCGACAGATTGGCATGATGGTACAAGCGGTGTCACCATGCGTGGTTCAGAGGGAGTGGATTATCCCAACCCGTCGGAGTTGTTCGACGCAATGTCGGCGAACGAAAGTCTGCTGGATAGAGCGAGAGTCAGCCCGTTGGCCTATGCAGGTTTTGTTCCTGTGAGTGTGGTATGTATCCTGAAATGCGTCGGGTGTGGCTCGCGCACCCATTCAAGGTGTTATGACGCGTTGTTGGTCTGCCGCTGATCACCGCACATGTACATGCCTTTATTTTCTGCAAACATGCAGCACGGAAACTCACCGCGTTGATCCGTATGCGGGTCGTCACGGTTGGTTGCGCCGCATGCCCGCTCCATCCACTCGCTCACCAACAACGGGATACATACATAGACAGAGTGAAAGAACTGTTGTGCAGCCAAGCTTGGTGTAAAGCAGAAAGAGGATGTTGTGCTACGACTGACAATATTGGGCGGCGACCATCCAATGAACCGAAGCTGGGGCCTCTTTGTAGCACGGACCCGCAGATAAGAAACGTCAAAATCGGGTCGAGCCTCAATCCCTTATCTTGGGTCCAAGAACCAGCCGACGTCGTCCATTATCGCAAAAAGGAATTTCTTATCCTTTTGACTGTCGCACATCCTCCTTATTCTCTTATTTCTGGTACTCGTCGTGTATTTGTTTTCTTATTTGGCTAGGCGACATTGATGTAAGAATACAACAACACGAACACATACATTAGCCGCATGATTAACCAGAAAGAAAGCTCGGTGTGGCGAAAATAACCTCTCTCCCCAACTCTCGCCTCTACAAACAAAATGTTCAGCGAGGTAGGGGGATGGGAACACGGAAGGATCAGCAGTGCTGTCACGGTAGCATGAACGGGCGCTAAACACTGAGATCCATTCCATTTCACGATGGTTTGAGGAGGGCTAGGGTATACCCCAGGGTGTACCTGAATCATTGGCGGAGCCCCTCTAGAGCTCCGTCCCAACTCGTGTTTAGGGTGATCGCTCACTGTTAACACGGCCAATCTCGGAAAATGAACTTTTACCCACCGCTAAGAAACAACCTGTCTGTGAGCAAATGCATGACAGGTAGATCTGGATAGATCTTACCTAGCCCCACCTTGCTAGCCCCACCTTGCTAGCCCCACCTGGATTAGACCCCCCCTGGTTAGACCCACCGGGATTGTATCCCTTTTGCTAGCCCCAACTTGAATCCAATGGTAAGATACCATGAAACTAACCATAAAATGGATGAAACTAATTTAACCCTAGCCAGTCCTTGTTACGCTAACACAAGAAGAGTGAACTACCCTAAGCGATAGCGTTATAGCCACTGTTACAGTGGGACGTTTCTTGTTTGACACGCTCCTCCAGCTACACCTTATTTCTTACGTTTTGGGGGGATCGCACCGTCGTCATCTTTTTTATTGGGACGTTTCGTATGTTTGTTGTGGCCGAGATTGAGCTAGCTGTGTTTCGTAGCTCATTTTTCTTATTTTGCGGGAAATTTGAGCATTTTTCTTGACATAATTTTTCTTAACTGCGGGCGCGTACTGTAGGCTACGCACGTAGCTCCTCACACGACAGCCTTAACGACAACCAACCTTCATCCACCAACCCGGTCGTACGTACGTACGTCTGGTCATAACATTCCTCCTCACGTTGCTGCTGTTTGCGGGGGCCTCTTGACTTGGTGGTGGAACTGTTTGCTCGCCGTTTCTTGTTTGTTGCACACGATCCAGGTTCATCCCAGCTGCCTTCTTGACCGCCGAGGCCGTCAGAAAGTTAGTGTATTGTGGGGAGTGCAGGTGAGGAGAAGTAGGAAATCAAAATCCAAACTTGAAATGTTGGGTCACCATCAACATTACTTGTCTTGCTGTGGTTGGTGTTGTCGTGTGCCACAACAAAAGTCTACAGCACAGCACACATACACACGTATGAAGAGAGGAGTCTTTTGGCGTTCGTGTTCCCATGTACCAATCGATGTGAGAAATAGAGATGTACTGTTATTCTCACCAAGCAAGGTCTAGTCTGAGCCTGTTGCCTCGGTGATGACAAAGCAGCCCAGACGACAACGAGTTCGAACCCTGACGAGGTGTGTGTTGTCCGCATTTCTTACTACGATGAATTTCTTGCTAATCAGTCTTCCTTGAGGGTGGGATGGCTGAACCCTTGTCGCGTTGAGGTATGCACTGCAATTGAGCTAGAAAACACAGGTATTTACAGCAGTGAAGAGATATAAGGTCGTACATGTAGATAGGTGTGAGCTGCGACCGACGGTAGGCAAACTGAATGCAAGTCACCAAGGTATACCTCCCCAGCCAAAATGTGAGAGACGGCACCCGTGATCACAAAAGGTCGTACATGTAGATAGGTGTGAGCTGCGACCGACGGTAGGCAAACTGAATGCAAGTCACCAAGGTATACCTCCCCAGCCAAAATGTGAGAGACGGCACCCGTGATCACAAAAGGTCGTACATGTAGATAGGTGTGAGCTGCGACCGACGGTAGGCAAACTGGATGCAAGTCACCAATGCATACCTCCCCAGCCAAAATGTGAGAGACGAAACCCGTGATCACAGGTTTACTGGAGTCTCTCAACTAAACCGCTACGCTCTCGGGATCAAAATACATTATTTATTAACCTCTCTTGTCTCCTCCCTGTCTGGTTGTCCACCTTTCGCTCTCTTTCTCTCTCTGTCTCTCCCTCTCTCTGTCTCTGTCTCTGCCTCTGTCTGTCTCTGTCTCTGTCTCTGTCTCTGTCTGTCTGTCTGTCTGTCTGTCTGTCTGTCTGTCTCTCTCTCTCTCTCTCTCTCTCTCTCTCTCTCTCTCTCTNCGTGTCAACCGACGCTCTGGATCTTTGATCTTCTTATGAACTGTTTCGAAAATGCGGGTGCGTGTGTTGTACTAACTTCGGCGCAAATTTTGGCGTGCTTGTACCGCGTCTGTCGACATGAAATGCAAAGGTGATCCAAGGTATAAAGCACGACAGCGTGGAACTAGTGCGAGGCGCCCTGAGACACGAGTTTTCCAATCCCGAGGAACGCTTGGAAGACTCCGGCCCGGCCGGCGCGGCGTTCTCTTTCGCGAACGCGGTGTGTATCTTTAGTACAAAAAAGTTCGACACCAATGCGGTTAATACCATTCAATCCTCACCAGCAACCAGCAGCAGCAAACGGCAGCAGCAATATCGACACCCACGACCCAATGATAACAACAACAACAACAAACAACAAACAACAAACAACAACAACAACAACAACAACAACAACAACAATACTGTCGACGACGACGGCGACGACGACTTTCAGAGACCATGCGTACTCCAGGCTGGGAGAACCCAACGCAGTCAACGCCGTCCGAATGCAATCTGCGGTGCGTATGGTGGCGTCAAGGGTGCGCGCAAGAGCTCCATGGTTTTCAGCAGCCCTTGTCCGAGAGGCGCTCACGTTCTTGTTGCCCCGGGCGCTGTCGAAACGTACGCCTACGTTTCGAATCATCAACACACATATTTCAAAGCACCCGGACGAAACGATTAGTGGTGTAATACGTTGACTCTCGTGTCTCGATCTCAACTTTGATAGTGGTTCCACACACAAGAAGAAGGGCATGGGCGGTGGTTCTCCTGCGAAGGAAGAAGATCAAGCAGGTGCCTGCGATCTACACGTCACGACGGCATCCTAACTATCGCTCGTTCGTTCTTCAATCAAAGAAGCACAAAGCGGGTGTGGTGGTGCCTGCGATTTACACACCACCACACGACATCTAACTAGTTCACCATTTGCTCGCTGCTGCTGCATCCGTCCGTGGATGATGACACTGCCGCCCCGTCAAGCAGGCCATATTCACCCAGGAGCAGATGGACCGCGTCGTCGACGACCTCAAGCTCCGCACACGGGAAACAAACGCGAAAACGAAGCGCTTCGTGAGTGACTCGGAGTGGCTCACCATCGACCAGGTACAGTATAAGAACTACCCTTGTCGTTGGTTGTGATTCTTCTTGTCGTTGTATCGACGGTGACGTGTTTGTGGCCGAACTGTTCTTATTTTTCGTAATGGTTGTTTTTGACTGTCGCACCTCGTTTGTTCGGGCTCAAACTAGTAGTTTGCACATAGACTCGGTTGACGAGGTCAGTTGTGAAATGTGTTGGCGATGAAACAACTCTCCAATCAACCCTGTCTACTAATCGCCTCAACCAACGTCCGGTCCTCTGCCGAAAGCGGTGTGTGTTGACGACCAACCAACAACCAAAACCATGTCTACCGTGCTTTCTCGTCGCCCTGGCAAAAGCCTGCCGGGTAACCGGGGGGAAAACGCTCCCGGGAATATCAACCCGAAATGACCAATCAAGTTCTTACAAAACGAAGCAAACCGTTAAATTCCACGTCGGGAAAAGACGCTAGGTGAGACCGGGACGTACGCCAGCGTGCTCATGTCAAGGGCGACGAGTGGAGACACGGGGCTTCACATCGCCATCACCCTCGGGAGCTTACGGGCTGCCCAGGTCAGTGCGTGGAGAAGAAAACAAAATCGCGCCTTCCCCGCCCTCCTACACCTGTGTGTGTATTCGTGTGTGAACGGAGGGCGAATGATTGATCCTTGATACATTTTTCGGTTATATACACCCTCCCCCGTCTCACCGCTGCTCCAAGAGCACTCCCAAACCCCGCTCCCCGTCCCGTGCATATGCACGAGAACCAGCATGACAAAAAGCTGACGAATCTTTTTCAACACTAGAGACGGAAGGGAGGTGAGGCATTTTACCTCCGTCGGCAAAACTTAGCCGATGTTGTTTACGATAGCGCACGTTCAGAGAAGGGCGCGAAAATTCCCAACCTTTCACATCCATCCCTGGCCATCCTGACGAACGATGTTCACACTACCTGTCCGCTGGTTGCTCATGCGAAGATTGTTTGTGCACTCATCATTTGGTTGCGGTGCTGCTCTGCCGTGTGGGTTGTTTTTGTGTTTGATTGTTGTTATGTTGGCGGCGTTGCGTGGTGTTGCTGTCGGGGGCGCAAGGCAAGCAGGTCTTCGTGGAGGAGGGGTGCGACGTGACCATCCTTAACGACGACGGAGTGTCCGCGGTAGCCATCCTGAGGCAAGACGGGGGGGACAAAGAAACTTGTTTTCGGCAAACCAAGTGCATCTATCTACAGTGGAACCTGACCGCATCCGAGATGCAGTAAGGTTGCAGTCGTGACACTGCACAGGGCACCACCACCTCGTAGAGCCGATGGCCAAACAAGCAACTGCTAGGTAACCCGTTGGAAAATCCGGGAAGCTTTTATTACTCAAGTTGACGTACAACTCAAACGAGTGTCCTCAATAAATGACGTTGCAGGCTACTGCTGTCATTGCTCAACCTCGGATGTTGGCTGTCTTCGTCTGGATACATTTCATGTGCTACGCAAACACACGATCTCACCTATCAGTCGCATTATTTCACCAAGCATCTCCCTCAAGACCAAGCTGTCTGCCCCTTGTGTGCAGTCTCCCGGCGACCGACCTTCTTGAGGTTGATGAAAAAACTAGACCCTACCATTGGTTTCTCAGCAACATGTCGTCGAAACACCCGAAGCCGGCCATGCCTTCCAATACGCTCCACGCCCCACGCGCTCTCAGCGACAACTTCGACAAGGTGATGGAGCTTGTGCTTCGCACCGCCCAGCTCGAGGAGGACTTCTCGCGCAAGGGTATCACGGCCCGCCGGCTGACTGCAGCAGAAAAGGTGAGGGGGAGATGCATCGATCGATCGGTCGATCGACACCGCCGCAGGTCTCTCCCGCAACGTATGCCGCAAATGTGCATGCCCCTAGCTTCTTAGCGAGGAGGCTTTCAGTCCATCACACTCCGAGAGGGGCGGGGACGTCCAACGCTACAGCACTAGGTGCACAGGTATGTTGTGCGGGTGGTTGTGGGTGCTCGACCGTGCACTACACCGTATCACACTACAGCACAACAGTAGGTGTACGGATGTTACAAGGGTTTAGGTGCTTGGTCGCGCGCCAAGCCTTTCCTCGAGGGCGTAACCGCTGATTCGGAGTCCTGGAAGACGCGGCGTGTCCCCTGCGGGACACCCGTACATGCAGTTCCCTCTCACCGTGTGATGTGGGCTACAGAGCAGCGAGCCTTTGCTGCGCCGCAAGGAACTCATCGTCGTTGGTTGGTGTTATTCCGGTTGTGCCGGAAAACCTTGCGTGCATGAACGAAACGCCTGCATTTGAACAGTGTGGACAGAAGGAATCGTCCTCGGGGGTCAGATGTAGGGGGGTCAGATTCGACCCACAGGCCACCTCCACAACAGCAACAGCAGTCCTGTAGTCATATTCTTGCGTCTGTGACCGTCGCCCTCCGCGTCGGCGTCGTCATGATTGATGCTAATGCTGCTGTCCTTGTTGCTCTACGTCGCGCCCGCCAGGCGTCCCTAGCGCAGCTTGACCGGGTGGCCCACAAGGCCAACGAGTACAGGCTCTTCGGGCACGGACTGGCTTGCTACTTCGTGGACAGGCTGTCAGACTGGCCCGCCCTGCAGGCGAGATCCGCTGATCATGTTGCCACCGCTCATGTCAACCAATGGTTGTGTACGGATGTGCGTTGTACGTTCCTTCCTCAAGCCTGAGGAGCAAAAGTTGGTTCGATGTTGGTCAGTTGTCTTCGGGGAAACGGGTCGAGGGTGGCCCTCGACCTGTCAACCATAGTAGTCATGTTTTCAAGAGAGCACCTGTATTATGTGCGCCCGTCGCCTAAGGCCGCCTGTCACGATCGTCACCTTTCTTTCTTTTCGCCTGCCAACGAAACACACCCGGTGGGTCGAATCGAGCAGGAAGAGGCACGAGCGTGCGAGATAGAGGGGCGGGAGATGCTCCCCGCGGCGCAACGAGAGCTGCGCCTTTGCGAGGTCATGTGCAGGTGAAAAAGGCTGCAAGTTGCCCAGACGGTAACAACAGCAGAGCAAAGAAAAGCGGGTCATGTCGAACGATGAGGCCGCCCGATGCTCCGAGGGAAGAATGCCGTCGTTTTCTTTCCGTCCGTCCGTCCGTCCGTCCGTCCGTCCCCTCGTCACCTACTTTTACTCACCAGCTCGCTACCGTTGCTATGGAGCGTCGGCTTCATGTCCCAAGTTGTTGCATGATCGGCTTGTCGTGCAGGGTTGTGCTATCCTGATTGAACGGTTTGATTTGACAAGTGTAAGGGTCTCGGATCGATCGCCGGAAAGAGGCCTACTCGTTCACCATACACTAGACAAAAACATGTACCGCCAAACGGTCTATCACACACGCTTCATACAACCCGGTCCTTTTTTCGATCTGGTTTGTTTGGTCGATCGATATACCCGCCCCCCTCCCCCCCTCC